AACCGCCAAACCCAGACACGCCCATTGGATTGCCAGACAGAGAAGCGTGATTGGTCCCTCCAGAGACCACGCCTCCTCTTCTCTAGAGTCCAGTGGCGGCGTGCTTTACACCGCGGCATCCCACGCTTTGCATTGCACTTGGTGATGTGCGTCTTGGATGCAGCTGCCCGGCCATGGAAGCCCATTCCATGGAGCTCTCTACGCACTGTTGTTGCGCCAATCTGACGGCCGCATGGAGTTTGGAGGTCTGTAGCTATTGGCTCTGCAGACAGTTGGCGACTTCTGCGCACTGTGCGCTTCAGCATGCGCTGACCCCGCTCTGTCATGTGACGTGGCCGACCACTTCCTGGCTGAGTTGCTGTTGTTCCCGGTTGCTTCCACTTTGTTACAATCCCAGTAACAGGCGACCGCGGCGGAATATTTAGTAGCCGGGAAATGTCACGGAACACCTGAGTCACATGATTTGGAGGGGGAGGGGCCCAATACTTTTGGTAATATAGTGTATGTAAAACCTCCCACAGCTTAGTGAACTGAACCCAGTGCTCACTGACCATCATGCTCCCATACTGCACCCTATTCATAGTGTTACCTTGACCAGAGTAAGTCTCTCTCTCCTGAATGTATCAGCGTGGTCCCGGAATTCCTGACTGGTAGAATCCACCGGAACAACAAGTGAGAGTGAATCTTCAGGACGGCGCCCCTTCTGAACATTCATGGGACTGCCGGTGATGGCTGAGGAAAGAAAACATTACTAAGGTCCGGGGATATGCCGGTCATAGGGAGACGACGCTCTGCGAGATATTGGGTCTGTCCCCACTCCCTCATGCACGTGAACCTCATCTCCAGACAAGACCCAAATTTACCACCAAACCTCCCTCTGCCCCTCCCCCCACAGGTTAGGCAACAGTGACCACACTGTGATTAAGTCTGAGTCTCTATGAGTAAGCTGGAAAGGTGAAACGCGTTGGTGGATGAGCATCTATGGCGGAGGAACTGTACAGTATGTATTTGTACTTTTACTTCCGCTGCGGACCCTCGGAGTGCGGCTACTTCTGGATTTAGCTGTTCTAGGCGGTGGTCTGTCTGCACCGGGGACACAATCGCTGTGCATGCCGGCTCAGGAACCCCCGGGATCACAATGCATGCCGGCTCAGGAATACTGCTCGGTGTTTGTTGTGGATTATCTACGTCTGAAGTCAGTTACAGGAAAGGGAGACGCGAGGATAACGCAAGAACTCTACATGTCAGAAAAAAGCCGACTTCGGCAAGCTCCACCCCCTTGCTGTGTGATACTAAATGGGACCAAATCATTGTTTTTTTAGCTTTATAAACCAAGGTGTCACAAGGGAACGTATACAAAACGTAGGCCGATGAAACATCGGGAGCGGAGGAAATACACAAAGAAACATCAGAAGTATTCCATAACGAGACAACTTTCAAAATGATACAAATAAAATGTATCAAGAAGAGCAAAGACGGTCCCGGAAGAATCCGCCATACAAGTCACAGATCGGTCTGGAGGGCGACACCAGAGACGGGAGGAAGGGAAAGCCCATGCGGCTGCTACGGGGGCCTGGGGGGGGGGCGTGGAAGGCGGACCCCATGAAGGATTGCTGAAGTCTCTGCTGACCCCGTATACCCCTTAGGTCTCGTTCACACCTAGGCTTATTGCATATGCGCGACCGTCGCGCATTTTTTAACCGCGATTCGCGCGTCTCCGAAGGCTACTTGGCTGTATCCCAATGGAAACGCGCAACAAAACGTCCCAAAGTAGTACCTGGACCTTTTCAGGCGCGGGCCATTTTGTAGCGCGTTAGGGACGGGCGGAAATACGGCAAGGTGGGAACCAGACCCATTGAATACAACGGGATTTAGATGTTTGAGCGTTTTGTAGAGCGTTCGTCGAGCGTGGAAACGCGCCACAAAACGTTCAGGTGTGAACGAGGGCTTATGGCATTTCCAATCAAGAAGAGTTGATATCGGGATGTAGAGGAAGAGACTCTGCGGACGGCTCTCCTGCTACCTGTCCTTGATTTAGATTTTAAAGGGTTTGCCATGGGGCCCTATTAACATTTTGCTATGGGGGCCCCATGGTCTGTAGGTTACGCCCCTGCTTTCACTTCACCGTTGCATGCCATCGAGGAAGATAAAAGAGAAAAAAAAGTTTGACCTTCGCGGCTCCACCGGAGTCATAAATAGCCAATAAAAGAGAAACGCGTCTTCGTATATAGAAAACAGAAAGTACGACTCCAGCGTTCCAGAGATACAAGGAATGTGATCAGAGATGATGGAATAGATCATGACAGGGGCGTAACTAGAAATCACAGGGCCCCATAGCAAAACTTTGTATGGGGGGCCCTGTGATTTCTAGTTACGCCCACCTGATAACCCAAACAGCCCACCTAAGGGTGACCCTGCAGAGCCCACCATGGACTCTCTATGGTGGGCTCTGCAGGGTCTCAGGCGGGCGGTCAAGCCCTCTTACCTGTCAGCCCCGATCCTCTGTCCACCTCCTTCTCCTCCACGATCGACTCCTCCGTCACTGGGCCCCGCCTCCTTGATCGCCGGGCCCGCCTCCTCCAATCGCCGGGCCCCGCCTCCCTGATCACTGCCACCTCCTGATCTGGAGGGTGAGCTGAGCGGGAGGATTTCTCCAGATCGCCGATGTTGTCCTAGATTGTTCCCTTCTCCGGCCTTCGCCAAACCCTTCACCCCGAGAGACTCCATAAAAGGAAGAACTCTGGACTTGGGGTCCAGATGGATAAGGCTGACGGGCTAAAAACATTTTTCTCTTCAGTTTGTACTCAAGAAAAAGAAGGAATAGCGACGGTAGTAACGATGTATCATAAAAGTATCCGTATAGGTTGTGGTCAGAGTTACTTAGGCTTCCGAAGTCTTCATGACCCCTACTGATACCCACCTGATGTGTGCCATGATGTTGTGGTCAGCGTGCCAAATAAGGGGGCGCGCTCTAGTGAAATGATAGAACCTGGGGAAGGGCGGGAGGGTCAAGCGCGACCTCGCCGTGACGTGCCTAGGAGCTCCCTGTCCCGGGGTCAGGCGCGCCCCCGCCGTGACGTGCCTAGGAGCTCCCTGTCCCCCTTCTTAAGGGGAGGAGAGCCGCCGCAACTCCTCCCACAAACACGGCCAAGTTACCTTGGCCTATTACTTGTATCAGATAAGAGAATATGAAGAAGTCACCAGGAGCTGATGCAGTGGCGTCACAAGGGGGGTGCGGCCCGCACCTGGGGACCACCATTGGAGGGGTGACATAGTGACGTCTTGGCGGGGTGACACTCGGTTACCGCTCCGGGTGTCACCCAGCCTCGGGACGCCCCTGGTGGATGGCTTACACCCACGAGTCCTCGGGGAGCTTAGCTCGGTGATGGACAAGCTGCCCTTCCTGATTTCAAGGACTCCTTCATGACTGGAACGGTTCCAACTGACCGGCGAAGTGCAAATGTGGTTCCGATATCCCAAAAAAAAGCTTGATGTGTACTGAGGATCTACAAAGCGGTCAGCCTACGGTCAATAGTAAGGTGCTCAGGGATTCTCCGGAACGATTCGTTACAGAAAGGAGTATTACGAGTAACAACCCATATGGATGGATGAGGGATCGCGCTCCTCCGACTAATCTGGGAACATTCTACGAGGAAGTGAGCAGCGGTTTGGATAAAAGGAAGGTCAGTAACACAATGGGGGGGGGGGGGAATTTATCAACACTGGAGCAGACAAAATCTGGAGCACATTTGCACCAGCCAATCAGCATCTCTCTTTCATTTTCAAACGTTACCTGAGCAAACCGAAGAGAGAAGCTGATTGGTTGCCATGGGCAACTGCTCCTGATTCTGTTTGCTCCCCCCATGTGTCTGGATTTTGACACAGTGCCCCGCAAACACTTCATTTACAAGCTGAGGATTATTGGAGTGGAGTCCGGCTCTATGTACGCGGATAGAATGCCGACTTCGGGAACGCGGTGCAGAGTGGCGCGGTATGACTGAGTTAGAGCCTGTTCACATTGAGCGGTTCGCAAATCGCGCGTTTGTCGCGCGATATCGCGCAAATGCTTGCATTGAGCAGGCTTGAATGGCGGCTAAATCCGCTCCAAAAAGGGTCCTGCTGTAGCGACGCGCGACAGCAGGACCCTTTGCCCCATTGAGAAGCATTGGAGAGCGATATCGCGCGGTAAATAGCCGCGATATCGCGGGAATTACCGCGCGATAAATCGCTCAATGTGAACGGGGTCTTAGGGCTGCCACCTTTTCTTCAAGCGAAACCCGAACGCTCTAGCGACGCACGTAAATTTTTTGGGGGAGAATGAGTCGCAGCTTATTTATAAAAAGCTCCACCCATTCTTATGTAAATATCAGAGTTGAGACTATTTTCAGTGGGGGGGGGGGGGGGGGGGGGTAGCCCCTATCTTCATTTTGGTTGCCCCCTGTCTACCTGACATCTTGTGTCCGGGTTTCTGCTGCCATGAAACCCGAACACAGCATCCAAAACCCGGACTGTGCGGGTGAATCTTGGACAGGTGACAAACCCTACTCTGAGTGGGCCAAGTTTGCGAGCGGCAGGCCCCGGGTTTCGTCTTGGGGTGGATGCTGTTTGTTTAGAAACATTCACATTGGTGTCAGGAGTCCAGTATCGGCATTTGCTGATGATACAAAGTATTGCAGAGAAATAACCTCGGCGCAGGATGTGACAATACAGGAAGTCCCGGATACAAGAGGGGGATGGGCTGAGACCTGGCAGTGGGAAAAAAAGTGCAAAATGATACATTTGTTACAAAGTTTCGGCAAGATCTCCATCAGGAGGATTTCTGACCCCGCTACAAATCATCGCTCCGGCCTCATCATGAACATGTGCTCCAGTTTTGGCCACCAGTCAACAGAAGGAATGTCCTAGAATTGGGAAGAGTCCTCCGAAGGGCAATGAAATGAATTATGGGGGCTGGAGGACCTCGGCTGTGAGGAACCATCCAGAACATGAAATGAAGGGGCTCCTCAGAGGAGATCGCCATCTACAAATGAATGAAAAGCCGGTAACAGGTTTCTAATCTGGGGTCCCTGATGAGGACATGTGACCACAATTTGAGGAAAGGAGTTTATTCTGAGATTGCAGAGCGGGTTCTTTAGGGTCAGAGCAGCAAAAATGTGGAATTCCCCCCTCCCCCCTCCTCCAAGTAGTGAAATCAGCTGCGAGTGTTGACAACATCAAAAACATTCTAGATGTCCTCGCTGAGCACGAAATACAGGGATATGTATGAAGAGAAACGTCGCCAACGCACACGTATTGGTTGGACTGGATGGACCCGCGTTTTCTCCAACCATAAGGACTTTGTAACTATGTACATCATGTCCCAGAATTATTTTATTCCCTTTCCTTCTTCCTGTAGTCAGCTTATTATTTCCTGTGACACCATCACACGGCTTCTTACAGAGGCAGCTGCTGAAATTATGTCCGTAACTATATACATAGCCCCTCCCCCCCCTTCCCCAGAACTACATCTACCAAGAGCCCTTTTCAGACACACTGATGGGATTACTGATATGAGAGTGGGAGGTGCTGACACTATGGGAGGGGTTACAAAAAATGAGGAGTGATATGCTCTGTAGTTTGGCAGCGCTGACAACACTTCTTGGCATCTTAGGGCGGCAGAGGCCGTGCTGTTCTCGCTGAACATCCGGCAGATCAACAGATATTTATGTGTACTCAGTGTTTGTCAGGAAGCAGGGGGTTGTTACCCCGGCACGGGGACAATCGGCACGGCGCAGGGCACGGGTTCCCCTCCAGCCTAGTAGAACTCCTGTTGCCCGGGTTGCGGGTGCGCATGCGCGAGTCGCGCAGCGGGTGCACAGTACGCAGGCTGCGTGCGCATAGTGCTCCTGCGCCATTAGGGCCATCGGGTGTGGGCCTTGCTGGGGGAGGTTCCCAGCACACACCTTCCATCTCTCTCGCCTGCCATTGGTTCCCGGGGAGGGAAGCCTCCTGGTTGCCTTGGTGACCGAGGGGCGGTCTTACACCCCCTGGCTATAACAACCTGGCCTGAGCTCTGGCTTATTGCTGAGTTATTCCACCTTATGAACACCTGGCCTCCCTGTTGGATCGTGTTGTTACCTGTTACCCCCCTTCGTTTGTACGTCCCGATTACTGAGCCCGTGGACTGTCTCTCGCCTCTGAACCATCGCTGCCCGCCTCGACCCGGACTGGACTTTGACTACTCTCTTGGATTGCCCCTATTTGTACTTCGTTTCTGGACTTATCGGCCGCTTCCTGCCACTGGGTTCCTTACCACGCTGCCAGCCCGCTGGTACGTCTGACAGTGTTCCTCGGAGACATCACACGGGGAAATTCGTTCTACACAAGAGGAGGAGAGATCCTCTAATGATACTGATTACATGTGGTGCTCGGAGCCCTTCACTTCTATCCTCTTATGACCAGCAATAGTATCCCAACAATCACAATGCTCCAATCTGCTGCCCTATCTGGAGGGGACCTGGACTGGGATGTCCATGGCTTCCCAGGAGGAGATAATGATGACTCCGCTATCAGGAACACTTACTGTCATGAAAAGATGTCCTAAATTGTTGTGCAAACTACGGCAGTCACAGGGAGAGAACCTGTTGGGAACATCACAGCAGGCCGAGGATGCCCATCGTTCTAGGTGAGACCTCTGCCTATCCATAGACACCCTCAGCTTGGAGAACATATGTCTATGGGGGATAGTGAGACGACACTGAGGTCCTCACAGGCTGTATGAGCCCCAGTCCCTGACACCGGGGTGTAGTACAATGTATTGGGGTACTTACTCTGTCTCTGCAGCTGAAACGTTCCATCCTTCCCCTTTGCTGTGAGGTCCTTCATACAGATCACATGATGGGGTTCTGATGTCAGTGTGAGGTCACTTTGGGTCACAAAGGCTTTCTCCAGCTCTCGGTTGGCTTTGGTTGGATATCTCCGAACTCCACTCTTATTTCTATAGAACCAAACCACAGCCGCCTCCAGCAGCTCCTCCTCCAAGGTCACAGCATGCTTCTCCTGTACATCTAAGAGGAGTCGCTCCACCTGTATGACGGCTCTGACCTTGTCCTGGGGGAGACCATCGACCTTCAGAACTGATGTCCCGTTACTCAGCTTCTCCTCGATGGAGACATCTTGGAAATCGGAAGATGAGAGGATATCGTGTTCCTCCTTCCCAAACAGAAGGACGAGGTTATTTTGTATGGAGACGGGGTGAGTTTGGAGAACGTTCTTCATCCAGGCCTCGGCTTCCTCTACACCTTCATTGCTTGTTCCATTGATGATCAGACATGGGATTTCTGAATCAGTGTGGACCCGCGTTTTCTCCAACCATAAGGACTTTGTAACTATGTACATCATGTCCCAGAATTATTTTATTCCCTTTCCTTCTTCCTGTAGTCAGCTTATTATTTCCTGTGACACCATCACACGGCTTCTTACAGAGGCAGCTGCTGAAATTATGTCCGTAACTATATACATAGCCCCTCCCCCCCCTTCCCCAGAACTACATCTACCAAGAGCCCTTTTCAGACACACTGATGGGATTACTGATATGAGAGTGGGAGGTGCTGACACTATGGGAGGGGTTACAAAAAATGAGGAGTGATATGCTCTGTAGTTTGGCAGCGCTGACAACACTTCTTGGCATCTTAGGGCGGCAGAGGCCGTGCTGTTCTCGCTGAACATCCGGCAGATCAACAGATATTTATGTGTACTCAGTGTTTGTCAGGAAGCAGGGGGTTGTTACCCCGGCACGGGGACAATCGGCACGGCGCAGGGCACGGGTTCCCCTCCAGCCTAGTAGAACTCCTGTTGCCCGGGTTGCGGGTGCGCATGCGCGAGTCGCGCAGCGGGTGCACAGTACGCAGGCTGCGTGCGCATAGTGCTCCTGCGCCATTAGGGCCATCGGGTGTGGGCCTTGCTGGGGGAGGTTCCCAGCACACACCTTCCATCTCTCTCGCCTGCCATTGGTTCCCGGGGAGGGAAGCCTCCTGGTTGCCTTGGTGACCGAGGGGCGGTCTTACACCCCCTGGCTATAACAACCTGGCCTGAGCTCTGGCTTATTGCTGAGTTATTCCACCTTATGAACACCTGGCCTCCCTGTTGGATCGTGTTGTTACCTGTTACCCCCCTTCGTTTGTACGTCCCGATTACTGAGCCCGTGGACTGTCTCTCGCCTCTGAACCATCGCTGCCCGCCTCGACCCGGACTGGACTTTGACTACTCTCTTGGATTGCCCCTATTTGTACTTCGTTTCTGGACTTATCGGCCGCTTCCTGCCACTGGGTTCCTTACCACGCTGCCAGCCCGCTGGTACGTCTGACAGTGTTCCTCGGAGACATCACACGGGGAAATTCGTTCTACACAAGAGGAGGAGAGATCCTCTAATGATACTGATTACATGTGGTGCTCGGAGCCCTTCACTTCTATCCTCTTATGACCAGCAATAGTATCCCAACAATCACAATGCTCCAATCTGCTGCCCTATCTGGAGGGGACCTGGACTGGGATGTCCATGGCTTCCCAGGAGGAGATAATGATGACTCCGCTATCAGGAACACTTACTGTCATGAAAAGATGTCCTAAATTGTTGTGCAAACTACGGCAGTCACAGGGAGAGAACCTGTTGGGAACATCACAGCAGGCCGAGGATGCCCATCGTTCTAGGTGAGACCTCTGCCTATCCATAGACACCCTCAGCCTGGAGAACATATCTCTATGGGGGATAGTGAGACGACACTGAGGTCCTCACAGGCTGTATGAGCCCCAGTCCCTGACACCGGGGTGTAGTACAATGTATTGGGGTACTTACTCTGTCTCTGCAGCTGAAACGTTCCATCCTTCCCCTTTGCTGTGAGGTCCTTCATACAGATCACATGATGGGGTTCTGATGTCAGTGTGAGGTTACTTTGGGTCACAAAGGCTTTCTCCAGCTCTCGGTTGGCTTTGGTTGGATATCTCCGAACTCCACTCTTATTTCTATAGAACCAAACCACAGCCGCCTCCAGCAGCTCCTCCTCCAAGGTCACAGCATGCTTCTCCTGTACATCTAAGAGGAGTCGCTCCACCTGTATGACGGCTCTGACCTTGTCCTGGGGGAGACCATCGACCTTCAGAACTGATGTCCCGTTACTCAGCTTCTCCTCGATGGAGACATCTTGGAAATCGGAAGATGAGAGGATATCGTGTTCCTCCTTCCCAAACAGAAGGACGAGGTTATTTTGTATGGAGACGGGTTGAGTTTGGAGAACGTTCTTCATCCAGGCCTCGGCTTCCTCTACACCTTCATTGCTTGTTCCATTGATGATCAGACATGGGATTTCTGAATCAGTGAACTCAGAGGACTTACCATGGACATCAGGTCTGGGATCTGTAGGAAGAAAACAACTACAATATAAGAGGAAGACTATATACTGGAAGACTCGACTACGACAAGAGTGATAAGAAACTTTCTACCAATGGCCTCCAACCGTAATCACCGCAATCCGGCACTGGGAAGGAGACGAGGCTTCCAATGACAATAGTTACATAGACGTCAAACAGACCATCAAATCCAACCAGCAGAGGAAACAATGTATATACATAGAAAGCCTCCATATAGAGAACTCTATGCCCACAGATACCCGCCACTGATCCAGAGGAAGGCCACACAGACCCCCCCAAAGCATGGACCGATTCACTCCAACACGGGAAACATTCCTTCCTGATCCCCTAAGACAATCGCATTCCCGGGATCAACAATCTCTCATGTTCATTACTTATCACAACTCTTACTGTGAAGAAGCCTTTCCATATGAGGAGGACGAAATCTGGAGCCTCTGTGCACGGCAACCAATCAGCTTCTCTCTCTCATTTTCAAATTTTATCTGAGCAAACGGAAGAGAGAAGCTGATTGGTTGCCAGGCACAGATGCTCTATATTCTGTCTGCTCCAGTTTTAATAAATTCCCCCCATTCAGTTCCCCTCGTAGCGGAGCTCCTCCATAACTCCGGTCACTTCCCTTCTCTGGACTCTCTTCTGTTCCACAACATCCTTCTCTGAATTGGATGTTAAAGTTCCCGTCACATTCCCGGCACATTTACATAAACCCTAAAGATTTCTTCCTGACTGACACACAGTTTTATCCCCCGCCCCCATTGTGGGAGGGGCAGAGACACAAACTACTGGGAGGAAATCTCACCATTGTGGGAGGGGCAGAGACACAAACTACTGGGGGGAATCTCCCCATTGTGGGAGGGGCAGAGACACAAACTACTGGGGGGAATCTCCCCATTGTGGGAGGGGCAGAGACACAAACTACTGGGGGGAATCTCCCCATTGTGGGAGGGGCAGAGACACAAACTACTGGGGGGAATCTCCCCATTGTGGGAGGGGCAGAGACACAAACTACTGGGGGGAATCTCCCCATTGTGGGAGGGGCAGAGACACAAACTACTGGGGGGAATCTCCCCATTGTGGGAGGGGCAGAGACACAAACTACTGGGGGGAATCTCCCCATTGTGGGAGGGGCAGAGACACAAACTACTGGGGGGAATCTCCCCATTGTGGGAGGGGCAGAGACACAAACTACTGGGGGGAATCTCCCCATTGTGGGAGGGGCAGAGACACAAACTACTGGGGGGAATCTCCCCATTGTGGGAGGGGCAGAGACACAAACTACTGGGGGGAATCTCCCCATTGTGGGAGGGGCAGAGACACAAACTACTGGGGGGAATCTCCCCATTGTGGGAGGGGCAGAGACACAAACTACTGGGGGGAATCTCCCCATTGTGGGAGGGGCAGAGACACAAACTACTGGGGGGAATCTCCCCATTGTGGGAGGGGCAGAGACACAAACTACTGGGGGGAATCTCCCCATTGTGGGAGGGGCAGAGACACAAACTACTGGGGGGAATCTCCCCATTGTGGGAGGGGCAGAGACACAAACTACTGGGGGGAATCTCCCCATTGTGGGAGGGGCAGAGACACAAACTACTGGGGGGAATCTCCCCATTGTGGGAGGGGCAGAGACACAAACTACTGGGGGGAATCTCCCCATTGTGGGAGGGGCAGAGACACAAACTACTGGGGGGAATCTCCCCATTGTGGGAGGGGCAGAGACACAAACTACTGGGGGGAATCTCCCCATTGTGGGAGGGGCAGAGACACAAACTACTGGGGGGAATCTCCCCATTGTGGGAGGGGCAGAGACACAAACTACTGGGGGGAATCTCCCCATTGTGGGAGGGGCAGAGACACAAACTACTGGGGGGAAATCTCTCAGCAATATGAATACAACTGACCACAGAGCTCGCACATGGATGGATAGCGGCCAATGTTTTCATTTGTGGTGTATTCATATCGGTGAGTATTTGAAGACCTCGGTTGTAGAAATAGAAGTGTGTGGACGGCCCTGACCCTCGATGACAATGAGAGGACAATCTGACACTAAACACTCACAATGATACATACAAGAAAAGATACAAATAATAATAATCAGAACAATGGTGATAATACTCTGTAAAGTAATGATAACACGGGGGAGACATTCATGTAAAGACTTCGGCTCCCCTCACCTCTCTGCTCGGCTCCGCTCTCTGTAATCTCGGGCCATCCTTGTGACTTGCACTGATCTTGAAAAGCCTTTATAAGAAAGTGACACAGTGAATATATATATATATAATTTTCACACTTTAATTCAAGTTTGCGCTGAGACAAATAAGAATGACGGTTAAAGGAGAACTACGAGGTCAGGGCTTTCCCCCATAGTTCTCGTTAGGGTAACGGGAGGACACAAACTAGCGTCCTCCCGTCACCCTAGGCTCAGTATATAGGGAGCTACAGCTCGCGGTATACTGAGACGTAGAGGCAGAGCCAGCTGTACCCGCCCCCTCCCCCGTCCGTTCCGCCAGTCAGCGCTGGTGGATCGGAGCGGGGAGGGTGGAAATCCCTGCAGGGAGCTGTGAGTGACAGTCACCACTCTCTGCAGGGAGATGATCGAGAGGCGAGCGAGCGCCGGTATGTGTTCCCTCACCTCCCGATCTACTGAGCTGACCTGTGGCAGTCTCATTGTAACATGTCGGCTAGAACTACGAGGATGAGTGAAAATCACCCCCCTCATGGTTCTCCTTTAATGGAGTCAGAGATAAAGACTTGTCTGCAGCTAATCACATCCAGCCATTGCACACAATAAAATCTGATTCCCCAGTGAGCCCCTGGCCCCTTCCTCCCCCATCTACATTTACAGATAATTATGTTATTATAGTGAATTATTATCTCACCTTGTAAGTCTCTGTGTCCTGCGGGTGAATGACAATATACACCTGCATGGAGCACCGATGTCCTCCGGCGAACCTCATCACAGCGTCCACCATGACGTCAGCCACATCCTTCTTGGAAAGACCAAAATTTCCCGTTCCCAGTGCAGGAAATGAGATTGAGGGGCAGTTATTTTGGTGTGCGGTGTTCAGACATTGTGCGGTGGCTTGTCCCACAGCCTGCAACAAATAGAACATCATACAATGGTGGGGGAGTAGAAAGCTGTCCACATACATAGGGGGATCTGGCCCTCCCACATACATAGGGGGATCTGGCCCCCCCACATACATAGGGGGGATCTGGGCCATCCACATACATAGGGGGGATCTGGCCCGCCCACATACATAGGGGGGATCTGGCCCTCCCACATACATAGGGGGATCTGGCCCGCCCACATATATAGGGGGATCTGGCCCGCCCACATACATAGGGGGGATCTGGGCCATCCACATACATAGGGGGGATCTGGCCCGCCCACATACATAGGGGGGATCTGGCCCGCCCACATACATAGGGGGTTTTTTTTATGTGGCCCGCCCCAATAAATAGGGGGGATCTGGCCCATCCACATACATAGGGGGGATGTGGCTCGTCCACGTTTTGTCCGATTCCTGTGAATTGGCCAAAATTCTTACTGTGGGTGGTCCTGCTGGCACCACTCAGCTCAATAAACCTCAATTGAAAAATGAAAGGAGCCGGGTGGAAAACTGTCAGCAAATGTATTCTGACAGCCGGGGTGATGTTCAACATGGATGAGGAGATTGAACGGTTTTCTTGCTGAAGGAGGAAAAAAATAATATGTATGGCCAGCTTATCTCCATCTGCTTTGGATGAAAAGATTAGGGACAGAAAGACAGAAGCACTTTGTGCTCTTGAAGGTGGAAAGAGGACACAACCTTAGATAAGAAAGTAGGCCTAAGTCTCAAGCCAGATTTATCTCTATAAAAGGAAAGGTGGAAGACAAGGCAGCCAGCTCAGAGGCCATCCGAGCCAAAGTGATGGTGACTAGAAAGACAACCTTCTGAGACACAGACATGGGGGAAAGCTCCAATGACAGTTTAAGGGACAGAAAGTACAAGGTCAGGATCCCATGGAGCCTGGGGGGGGGGGGGGGGCTTTAACAGGAGCAACAATATCGGTGGGATCCTGGACAAGGGTATGGACCAAAGAATGAGAAGTCAAGGGTCATTGGAACAGGATCACCAAAGCCAACATCTGCCCCTTAATGGTGCTCAGCACCAGACGCTGACCCGCTGAAGAAAGTCATTTGAGTAGAATCTGAGTAACTGAACAGTTCCATGCGTTCCGTCTAAGTGCCTTGCATGTAGATATTAGTTCTTTAAAGTGCGTTAATATACCTTATGAGAAGAGGGCTTCTGAACCCTGAGCATGGTAGCGATCACTTTCCCAAAGAGCCCACCCTCCCTCAGCACCTGGGCTTTAATAGCCATGTCATTAAAATCAGTGACCAGGAAACAGAATGTAAAACTGGGCCAAAAGAACCAGGGGCTGCCACATGACATACATGACCAGACACACTGGATCAGAGTCCAAGGTTCTTCCTGACCAAGGTATAAGAATGGAGGGAATTTCTTCTGGTTCTATCCTCTGCAGGACCCGAGGAAGAGGATTATAGCGGAGAAATGGGATAGACCACTTCTTAAATGATTCCTATAGAAAGAGATAAAGGGTGGAGAGGCCCCTTAGGAACAGAGAAGGGCCATCAGGCCGCTTCCAATGTCTAGAGGGCAGATCATCAAATTGTTGATGATTAGGAGATTGTGTAGGTGTGTGGAAGCCAGAGCAGCCGCCAAACTCCACAAGCAGGCAGAGGGGTCTTCAACCCAAAGTATATGTATCTTGCAGCACTCCTTACCGGATTTTTGAAAAATTGCAAATGGATGCCCGCAGTGACCACGGGGGCACCGTGAAATAATCTGAAGATATGAGGGATGTCACCAGCCCACCAAGCTGTAGTGTTCAGCTTCAGTGTAGTGTTTGTCATTAAAATGGACAATTGCTGAACACTACAGCTTGGTGGGCTGGTGACATCCCTCATATCTTCAACCTAAAGTGTCTCAATCACTGTCTAAAAAAATAAAAAATAAATAAATCACACGAAAAGGTAGAAAACAATAGATATTATACTCACCTTCCTTCCGGCTTCTATAGTGAAGGTGTGAGGTAATTCTCTCACTGATAAGATCCCGGGGGAATGTTGGGTTCTGCAAATCACCGTGACTAGATTTGGACTTCCTTACGTTCCCTGGATCTTGTTGGAAGGACAGTGATGTCACTCTTGCCCCATGGGTGAAAGGTCAGCATATTATCTAATGTTTTCTCCCCTGCAGGTGATTTTCTTACACTGTTACCCCGTGTTTAGCCAAAGGCCGGGTGGACACATTTAAAAAATGGACCTTGTATTTTAGATGGAAGACCCACTTTAAGGCAAGAAACACAGGTGAGAGGTCAAGCGCCTGACCTTTGGACAGGTACCAGGATGCCAGGCTGTAGGTACTCACTAAGGCTGTGCGGCAATATGGTGAAAGGAAGTAAGCCGTGTTGTGTCCCCCGTGGTGGAGAGGCCACATGGAAAGTTGCTCTGCAGGAAGACGTATATTCCACTTTCTGTGAGTGAAACTCCAGTGGACATGAGCATTCTGATCCGGACGAACCAGCAAATCAACAAAATTCCATTGATTCGGCGGTTCATCCAAATCCGAACTAGCCAATTATTATAGGTCCGAAAATACAAAAAAACATATTTGGGCACATAAAGCGCTGTGCAGACTGTAGGCGCTATATAAATTCTGTATAATAATATCAATCATTCGTTGACAGAACATGCGATGGCCATATCAGCCATATCGCCATCTTGGAGGCAGGGTGCATGACACCATGTGTGCGTGGCGTCGGGTGACGTCACATGCCTGGATCAGTGCTGCCACCTTAGGCCCCATTCACACTGAGCGATTTATCAAGCGATTTTTGCAGCGATATCGCTCTGTGTAGCGTCTCCAATCCATTTCAATGGAGCTGTTCACATCTCGTCGCTCAATATCGCTTGTAGCTCGTCGCTCCTACATGATCCTTTTTTCGAGCGATTTTGCTCCTGATTGCCTACAGCCCAATAGGTAAAAGTCGCGCGACAAGTCGCTCAATATCGCTCATATAAAATCGCACGGAAAATCGCGCAATTTTCATGTCGCTCAGTGTGAATGGGGCCTTAGTGTACACACCAAGATGGCAGCGCCCATACAGGCGTGTGACGTCTTGTGCCCGCCTCCACGATGGCGGTGCACATGCGCAGAGTGCGCCGGTGGCTGATATGCCTGCTGAGTGTTCTTCTATTTACATGTGAGGCTAAATAGTATAATTATTCATTTTGTTTGACGAAACAAATGAAAACGTTTTGTATTTTTCATTTATTTTTGTCCAAAATGAATTTTTGCACGTATTTATTAATAGGTATAAGTGATCGTATGAGTGAAATCATGAGTCCCGCCAAGGTCCCCCCCATCCCCCCACTGGGCCACTGTTCTCTTCCAAAATGGCAATCAAAAAGACTGAACTCTCTGCAGAGGACTCAAGACTGGGGCGGAAGTGTTCTGTATTTCTGCAGGGGTCGTGGCTGTGGTTGGAGGTTCTGATAGAGCAGTGTGTGTGTGTGTGGGGGGGGGGTCCATATATCAAAGGAAGATCACAGCAGAGTGGTAATGGGTGAATAGGAACAGCGTTGGTGGAAATAAAGGATTTCCTGATTCTGGGATGGATGGAGAAAGCTTGTCCATAGAAGGGGAATTTATCAAAACTGGAGCAGACAGAATATGGAGCAGCTGTGCATGGCGACCAATCAGCATCCACCTTTCATTTTCAAATCTTAACTGAACAAGCTGAAGAAAGATGCTGATTGGTCTGTGTGGCCACTAAAGGGTGTGGCCACTGAGGGGTGTGGTCACTGAGGGGCGCTGTAAAGCTTTCTCGCACAGGGCGCCTAAAGGCCTAAGGCCGGCCCTGACTCCCCTCATTGTTCTTATTTGTTTCCATCAGAGACACACAGAGGGAACAGCTGACATACTCACATCTAGAAGGCTTCTTTGATAGTAAGACTGCAGGATCACATGATAGACGAAGTTACAGGGAAGTCTGTATCCCATTGTAGGGAACATGGTTGGAAAGGGATAGTAGGGTCGATAATTATTAACTTCCATCTGCAACTCATACCCGGCCTTGGCAAGGATTGCTGTTGAGGTCTGTCCGCCATTCATGTTCAGGTCGGGGCCGAGCGAATTCACAATCACTGCCGTCTGTCAAGAAAAAAAATCAAAGGAAATCGTATTACCGCAGCGACAGTGTAAAGCCGCGTTCACGCGGATCCAATTGTGACCGATTCAGTAGGAATTGGAAGTTGTTGACAGGAGTCTGTCAGATATGTCCGTGTGTACAAAAGGAGAACTATGAGGTCAGGGCTCCCCCCATAGTTCTCCTTAGGGTAACGGGAGGACACAAACTAGCGTCCTCCCGTCACCCTAGGCTCAGTATATAGGGAGCTACAGCTCGCGGTATACTGAGACGCCGCAGCCGGAGCGGATCCCGACAAGTATGCCAGGATCCGCCCAGCTGCGTGAGTGACAGCTGGCTCTGCCTATCTAGGGGCAGAGCCAGCTGTACCCGCCCCCTCCCCCGTCCGTTCCGCCAGTCAGCGCTGGAGGATCGGAGCGGGGAGGGGGAATCCCTGCAGGGAGCCGTGAGTGACAGTCATGGCTCTCTGCAGGGATAGATTGAGAAGTGAGCGAGCGACGGCATGTGTTCCCTCACTTCCCGATCTACTGATCCGACGTGTGACAGTTTAATTGTCACAGGTCGGCTCGAACTATGAGGATGAGTGATTTTCGCCCCCCCTTCCCCTCATAGTTCTCCTTTAACTCTACACACATCACAAGGCCATTCCAAGGGAGGCGTGCGCAGCACTTCACGTCTCACACGCTGGGTGCTTATTACACATTAATAGGAACCCGCGCTCCCATTGCACTGCGTCTCATTCATGGGTGAGCAACATTCACAATGAAGAGACTATTACTGATGCTCTAGCCCGGGGGGAGGCAACCTCAGCACTCCGGCTGTTGTGGAACTACAAGACCCATGAGACCTTGCAAGACTCTGACAGCCGCAGGCGTGACCCCCAGAGGCATCTGTGTGTAATATTCGGCTTTGGCTGGGATGATTTCGCTACTTTGACACTCGGCTCTCCCCATTAGCTACTCCAACTGCTTCAATCCTTTTATGTCTCTCTGTTACGAAACTTTGTTTCTACTTGAAGTTTGATACGCCAAAGCACAAGATTGAAGAAATAGGTCACCAGCACTCCATAAGTTAAAATGAATGAGTCCTTTTAATGGACAATGATGTCACAGAAATCCAACATGAGCCTGTTGGACAAAATCCAACTTCGGCTCATGTTGGATTTCTGTGACATCATTGTCCATTAAAAGGACTCATTCATTTTAACTTATGGAGTGCTGGTGACCTATTTCTTCAATCTTGTGTTTTGCACGGTGCCATCCGTGAAGTTACTTCGAGCACCATCTATTTGATTGTTGGCCGGGACTGCTGAAAGGTGTGCGGAGGGCATTTCCATCAATTGC